TGTAATTCTTGGTATCAGACAGGCTAATTCCTAGTCAAGTTCGATAACATCATCTAGAATTGAGTCAAAATGCGCTAAAAGTTTGAATTTGATAATTGATTCATATAGCTAAAATGGGTTCGCAGACGGTCAGGAATATTTTTTTGGATATCTTTTGAAATCTGTCTCAGAAACCTCATATTTGCCCTACTGCATTTTAATATTAAAAAATAACAATTTTGTTATTTTTTAACAAAAATCCGCCTTTGACGTTCAGAATGACGTTTTATTATATAAATTAATTTTTATTAATAAATACCACGTCTGACATTTAGGATGGTATTTTAATATAAAAATTAATAAAAATTAATGTTTTTATTAATAAATATTGCATCTGACTTTCAGGGTGATATTTTAATATAAAAAATTAATAAAATTAATTTTTTTATTAATAAATGTCACATCTGACTTTCGGGTGGGCATTTTAATATAAAAATTTAATAAAGATTAATTTTTTATTTATTAATAAATGTCGCATCTGACTTTCAGAACAGTATTTTGTTATTAAAAATTAATAAAAAATTAATTTTTTATTAAGAAATAATATGTTTGACTTTTAGGGCGGCATTTTTATTATTAAAATTAATAAAAATTAATTTTTTATTAATAAATGCCACATCTGACTTTTGAAACGACATTTTGTTATTAAAATTAATTAAAATTCATTTTTTATTAATAAATGCCACATTCAATTTTTGGAATGAGCATTTTTTATTAATAAATGCCACATCTGATTTTTGGAATGGGCATTTTTTATTTCAAATTCAACAAATCAGAACTGAATCCAAATCCAAATCTGATCTGGATTTGACAAATTAAATCAAATCAAAATTCAGATCTGAATCAGATTTTTTGTGGAACAATATTTGTGAGGTATAATTAATTAATTTATTGTAAGCTTTTAACTCTAATTGAAATTTTATAAATAATATAATTAAATCAACTGAATGTATAATAAAATATCTTAGTACTAAAATAATATACAATGTAATAAATGGCTATAAATTTTAATACTGAATTATAATAATTAGCTAAATATTTACTGAAAAGTTTTAGTTTTAAAAAAAAATTTTTTTAATTAGAAATATCATATTTAACTTAATTTATTATTATATTAGTTTACATATTGATTTATTAGATTGATTTAATGTATTAGTTTCATAATAAGTATTTTTCTATTATGCATATAATGATCTAATTATAAAACATAATTTTTTATTATTACTAAATTATATGTATAAAAATGAGTTATTATTATTATATATTTTAATGATATTAAGTAAATAAATATTTGAGTTTAATTATATGTTTAAATAGTATAGAAGATAATAAATCATATTATTAAAGAAAATAATTCTGCAATTCCTAAGAATCATTTTATTCAATTACAAAGCTTACTATATGTGATAGTTGAATTTATAATATATTATTTATGACAATTAGACTTTTCTTGATAATATAACAAATATACTATTATGCATTATAATGCTATTAGTAAATATTTTTATGAAGAAGATTTCGAAAGTTATGTTACTTTCAAAAAACTTGTTTAACTAAAATACAACAAAAAAAAAGATTTAATTAGTGCAAAGAAAAATGCAATTAAAATGAAAAATAAAAGCAAGTGATATGATTTGATGAGTTAATATTTGCTTTTTTTTGAATTAGATAGTTCTAGAAGATGAAGGTGTGGAGACTTCCAGAGATACTGGACGAGTGGGATTGATTTGATCTAAAATCATCATGTAGTTGTGAGTCATAAGTTTGTATGCGAAGGCTTTAAGAAGTGGTGGACGCGTTGAATCAAAAGTGAAGAGACTCTGAAACATATAATCTCTTTTAACGAACCAATTACAAGTAGGTTTTCTGATAAATAAAATTGCTGCATCACCATCTTTGCTTTAACATCCTCTTTGTAAAATTCTGTCCAGGTCTGATATGATTTAAAGTGCGATCGCTAAGATCATATATTTTGTAGCAACCAAATCTAGGTATCGAACCAACAACTAGATTCAATCCTGTTCAACATAGCATGTCAGAAAAACAACTTCATTGGTTGTCAATCAATGTCGGTTTTTGAATTTTAACACTGGACCTAACATTGTCTAAAAAGTTAAATTCCAGACTGCTTTTGTAGAACTTTAGGACGTAGTACCATGCGAAGAATATGCGGAATACGATAAATATTCTTCTAAATTTAGAAGTCCTGAAAATAACAATAAAAAAGATAAATAACTGTATAAGTTGAATAATATTAGCTGGTCCATAAGAAAGAAAAGATTAAAGTGAGAATAGGAAATTCATATTTGGTCAGAATTAACAAAGGCAAAACCGTTAACTTACTTCTTACAAAGCTAATTCCTCGTTCAAAGTTGTGGAAGGATATGATAGAAAACTTATTACTTTTTATAAAAAAATAAAAAAAAAAAAATAAGTAACAGAACAGTTCAGAAAATTTGGGAACTTAAATGCTCAGACCTCCCGTCAAAAAATTTTATATTCTTTTGCAGCGGTGATAGATTTCAGGGGTCTTTTGTTTCTTACTAAAATTAGTCAAACACAAAAGAAACATAAATAAATTATTAATAATAAATTTTTTTTTCACTTCTTTTTGTAATTCGACAATTTTAAACAGTTATGATGCGGGGAAATTCTCTTACTGATGATTTAAAATTTATCATCAATAATCCTGAATTTAGTGATATAGAAATCACTTGTGAAGATGGAATAATCTTACAAGGAAATCGTGCTATTATGAGAGCTCGGTCTGAAGTTCTTTATAAACTTCTCTTTAATGGAATGAAAGAATCTACTGAATCAAAAATTTCATTTCCGGAAATCAATTCTTCTGCAATGAAAGTTGTTATAGAATATATATATACTGGATCGGTTTCAAATGTGGTTCTTGCTAATGAAAGTTTGGAAAATTTGGTTAGCGTTTTTCATGCCGCAGATTATTTTCAGTTATCAAAATTACAAGATGATGTCGATGTAGTTCTTTTAACTAAATACTTTTCAAAAATCTCGTTGGATAAGATTAAACTTGAAGATATGTCTTTAAAGGTTTTACGATGCTTTTTATCTCAAACTTTTAATATAAATGAACCAATTCTTACAAATGAATATAATATTTTACGTTTCACTATATTGAAATTAGTTCATGAAATTAATCAAAGTTTAGTTTCATCATTTGAAAGAATGATACCATCAGAAGATAGAATTGGAGATGATGATGATAAAAGGAATCATGATAAAGTATATTTAAAAGCTTTGGAAATTCTTCCCGACGTTGCAGAAAATTAAAACCTTTAATAGAATTTATAGATTTGAAAAGAATTGACATAAAAGATATGGAAAATATTTTTGAACCATTGAATATCATTTCAAAAAATGCACTTTTAGAATTTTTTCGTTACCATGCCAAAGTTAAAACTCCTGCTCCATATACTCGTGGAATGCCTTTTTTAACATGGGACAATAAACATTGTGGAAATGGGCTTACTATACATGATGATGAATTTACTGTTTCAAATAAAAATTCTGGTCATCAAACTGTAAGAACCAAGGAAATTATCTGTGGAAAAGGCATCTATGAATGGGATATTATAATTGAAGAATGTTGTGTTAGTACTTGGGTAGGAGTGTGCACAGAATCAGGACTTGATTATAATGATTTTGCTGGATATCAACCACATGGATGGGCATTTGGTTCATGTGGTAGTGTTTATAATAATAATAAAGAAAGTGGTTACGCGTCTAGTTTTGGAAAGGGAGACAGAATTAGTGTTCATTTAAATATGAATGAAAAAACTTGTGCATTCTCAATTAATGGAACAAAATATGGAAACGTTGCAGCTTGGACAAATCTTTCGGACCGTTTGTATCCAGTTGTATCAATAACAACGCCTGGTAGAAGTCGAATTCAATTATATAAAAAATTTAATAGATAAATAAAATAAAAAAACTATAATCTAGTACAATTTTATTTTGATTTTAGCATTATGTTTAGCATATTTAATGAAAATGGTAGTATAAATCATCATTTAATACTAGATTCAGTGATTTACCATTATCAGTTTCTCCCATTATAATCTTTATAACGACAAAAAGTCAAACCTTTATTTTACTTGATTTGTAAATCGCGAAATAAAAAAATAGGTAAATTGAAACATCGTTTTTTTTATTAATGAGAGTTCTCGCTATTAGAAAATACATGCAATCATAGAGCAAACACTAAACTTTTAATCTCAAAACGAATTATTATCGCATTGTGTTTAAATTACTTTGATTAAAAATCATAAGGAGAATATCTTGAAGAATCATCATCATTTGTTTGTTCATGTTCAGGTAAATATCGTGGAGAACAGTTGTCTCCTATTTGTTCAGATTGATAAGATGCTTCATATGTAGGGGAACCATCATCCGTATAAGAGGAAAGTTCATAGACAGGAAAACTTTGATTAATTTGTCCCGGACTTGATTCAGAAAAATTTCCTTCATTATGAGAATATCTTGAAGAACTTTCACTTTGAACGTATCTCGAAAGTAAAGATTGATCCCTTGAGATAATGGATGCGTCTATAGGAGTTCTTGGAGAAAGATCAAATCGATTCCGAAAAGAAACATACGTTGGAGATCCTTCAACGTCATATCTCGGAGAATCATCATCTGTAAAAGTTAATTCATTGTTGAAAGATGTGGTAGGTGGTCCTTCTATTTCAGAATCGATTCTAAATTTGGAACTAGAATGATCTATCGTTGAGGATTCTTGTGCTATTTTTAATAACGAAAGAAAATAAATTTAATAAAATGTTATGTTAAAAATTAAATTCGATTGAAATTTAGCTTACGAGTAAATGTTAAAATTTTATGAATAAAATCAACATGAGATATAAGCATTCGACGACAACAGTATCTGGTTATTCCAAGAGCTTCCAACGCGGCACTTTTCATATTATTAATGAAATCAATTTTGTTTATTACGTGAACCATAACTTAATGGTGAAACTAAAAAGGTACCTCTCAGAATATTCGCTATCTAACATCGTCTGATAATGATTCCATTTATTAGCCAATACTTTACCGCACGTATAACAACGAATTGGAACGATCATTTTTATTATTATTTATTTATTTTTTTTTTGTTGTAAAGAAAGATTGCTTTAAATTATTTAAGATGATTAATATTTATTTAACTTACAATGATTACGAGTTATGATGTAATTACATTTTACGAGAGAAAGAAGATTGTTACATAATTTTTACGCGTAATACTAATGCTTGCTTTAAAATAATTCAACCATGAAACTCCGTTGCCGCATCTTTACATGTATTCATTAAAATTCAAAAAAAATTTTTTTTTTTATAGGAATTTATTATTTGAGTTGTAATTCATTACGTGATTTCCAATGACTGATACCCGAAAAAATATGTAGCTGTTTTTTATATTTTACTCGTAAAAACACCTTTTTATTAATTTTTATTCTCATATTAAGAATTTATATTGAATGGAAGAAGTAAATCAATTAGGAATTCTGATAATATTGAGGGATAAATAGTTACTTATTTACACTTCCTTTACAGAAAACCAAGTATTTGTATATTATAATAATAAGACAAGAGTAATATATACATACTTTCAAATCTTTCAAGAGGCTAAATGCATCTTTAAAAAATACAATTTCTATATTTGATAGAAAAGAATAATCAAAAATGATACATCACATTTTTTATTACAATTTATTATATATTGAAATAAGTCTAATTCTATATTAATCAGCCTTCTGAGCTTATTATGATCTCTTTCATAATCTGTATTATTATTTTTTTTTTATTCTTATATATTGAGTCTTATACATATGTAAGATCAATCTCTAAAATTGTAAAATACCAGGTCAATAATTAAACTTTATATAATATATTAAATTTTACTTTTTCAATCTTGATAAAAGAATTTAACCAATTTATTATTCAAAGAATATATACAATTTAACATGCATAGTTAATATAAATTTAGTTAAATTTTCAAATTAAAATAGATTAAAATATTAAAAATAGTATTTTAAATAAAAAATTATTTGCTTAATAAGCTTAGTAAATGATTTATCAATTTTTATACAATTTTAAAATTAAAAAAAAAAATTATTTTTTTAACTTTTTTTTTATACTTTCTTATTAATATTATTAAAAAAAAGAATGTAAATAAAGTTTTATTTTAAAGTTTTTTATTTTTATTATAATATAAAGTATTGACCAATTATAATTAAATCAAAATTTTCTAGATTATTTAGTCATAAAAAGTATTATTAGTAAAATTATATTATATATAATATTATTTATTATATTTTATAACATATATTATATGATCCTATATTATTTATTATCGCATAACCCTATAGGATCATGCTGAGTTTATTTGACCTATATTTTTTTATAATATACTTTATTTTGTATTGATAGTTAATCATTATATAATATCAAACAGCTATAATTTATTTACGAATAATATTGTTATGCTATAATAGCAATAAAATAATAAATATTTAAATGTTTGCAATATTAATTTTCAAATTAATCTATTGTATTAATCAAATTAATTAAATTATTAGTATTCATAGTAATTTCTAAATTATTATTATTAGAATGAATTTCTTGCAATGGATTGTGTAAATTTTGTAAATTATTTATTTTTGATGTTTTAAATTGAAAGATTAAAGCTAAAATAAAACAAAAATATAATTTACTAAAATATAATATATAAATAAAATTTTCAAAAAAATTCTAACATTCTTTAGCTATATAAAATCCTTTATTATGTTTTGTATTATAATCATCATTAATATTTAATAAATTAATATCTTATATTTTTAAATTAAATTTTTATCAATAAATTTTAATTATTAATAAAAAAAAATAAGTTTAATTTATTATATACTTCATTTTATTTTAGTATTTTGTAAATTATTAATCAAATTATTAATTATTTTAATTTATTCTTATTCTTGTTTCCTTGATATTTCATAAGATTTTAAACTTTTTATATTTTTGTGTCAAATTGCTAATTTTATTAAATTTCTTAAAAATCCTAATTTTTAAAGCATTTGTATAAGTATTTTACATTCAGTATAATTTGTAATCTTTCAATTAGTGCAATATATATTATAAATTTTATATATCTCATTTATAAATTTTTTAATCTATTTTGACTAATATGAATTTTTTAAAAATTGATTACACTAATTGAGAATAATAAGATAAATATTTTTATAAACATCAATTATATTTTGATTATTTGGTAAAATGAGTTTATCAACTTTTTCACAATTTTTAATTTCTATTCTTTAGCTTCATAAATCTAATAATACTGCATTATAAAAGAAAACTCTTTTAAGTAATGATTTTGATATAGATCTATTCATTAAATAATAGTTTAAAATCTTTTAAATTTTATCAGTAGATAATCCATTAGCATCATATTTTTTACCAAAATCTAAATCTGTCAAATATTTAATTTTTCCTGAATAAACTTACTAAAATATTTTATTATCATATAAATTGTAATTTGATATAACAAAATGCTGATTTAAATAGTGATAAATTGCTAAAATAGCTGTTTTTATTGAAAAATAAAATATTTATTACTATTTTGCTATTTTATCACTGCCAAATATTATATATATTAATTAAGAATCCAGAACTTTTATATCAAATATCTCCTTAGCTTTCCTTTATAATTATTATTAACATGAAAAGATTTTATAGTATATATCTAATTATTAATACTATTAATACAGTATTCTATATTTTTAACTTTTCTGATATTACAGAAAAAATTAATATTTTCTTTCAAATAATTTCTTGAAATATTATCTCAAAAAATCATAAAATCATTATAAATAAAATTAAAAACTTTATATTTGTATAAATTATAATTTATAAAAGATTTTTTATAAATTTTATTATTTTTACGTGATATATTTAAGAAAAGAAAGAATAAAAAATTATAAAAATATATAAAAAATTAAAGTTTATTTATATATATTGAGAATGATCTGCATTAGCTGAATGATAATATAGATATTATATGATACATTATTTATATTAGTTAACATTAATTTGTGACATTAATTAATATAAATAATACATTGTACAATATTCATAAAATATTAAATAATATATAATTAATTTAATTTTACTAGAATTATTAATAATAAATTATTTATTTATATTATATAATATTCTATAAAAATATTTAAAATATAAATTTTTGTTAAATTTATAAGGAAATTGTTTACTATTATTTAAGCAATTGATATTTGAGCAATTGTCACTTAGGGTTTTTTTAAATATATCATATGATAAATAAATATAACAATTGTCTATTAACAATTATTAAATTTGCCTAGCTAGTACATTAAATAATCTTTCAAATATGTGAAAGGTTATATCAAATCATGTGACTAAGTCACATTATTTACGCTAAAATTAATAATTAATCCAATTAAATAATTGCTTATTTTAACCAATTAAGTAAAAGAAATTTGAGATACGTAACAGAGACATATGCAATAAACTGATAATCAGTATAATCAGTATATAATCATATGAAATCTAAACACAAATAGGTTTTTTTTAAAAAAAAATTTTTATATTCAATCTTTCGCTTTGTATTTTGTTTTTGCTTACTTTTTTTACTTGCTTTGCTTTTGAACTTGGAAGTATAATAAGATTAACAAATTTTATTAATTTAAGATATGTATTAAAATAAACTTTAAAAATAAAAAGTAATAATCTTAATAATTTTTATAATTTTTATAAAAAAATAGAGTTGCAAGAATTTTGTTGTTAATCATAAAGATTCAAAAACAAAGTATTATGCTTCCATAATACAGTCAATCCTCTCTATAGTCACCCCAGATATAGTCATATCCCCCTTTATAAGCATATTTATATTGGCTTAAGTTACTAATAAACTTATTAAAAAAATCACCCTCTTTAGTTACGTCTAAAGTTGCTTGTCTAAAATCATTTTGGATTTATCTAAACGTCTAAACCTTAAGTTTCACTAAATTTTACTAAGTGTTTGATATAGCTTTGCCATTTTTATAAGCTTTGATATAGTTTTACCTTTTTCTGAATTTCGCAGATTTTTTAATAAGGTTTTAATATAATT